ACACTCAAGTATGGTTTATCTTCAAGATAAGATAATGATAAAACCTTTAAAAAATCTAATTACACAAATGCTCGAGGCATAGCCAGAATCGTTAGCTATTAATATCATTAATGATTAAAGGTTCAATTTTTTATTTCCTATTTTTTTACGCGGTACTAAACAGGAACCGAAAAGGAGACTGTAACAGACTCAGGCTTTTCAACCCATCTGTGATGTATTGTTAGAAGGAAATGACATGTCGAGAGCTGACTGGCTGAACTTGCTGGCATTTAATTACGTTTACCTCAGTTGTATTCCCTACAATACTGACAGTAACTTCAAGCTTGTGCTGTCGTTCTCTTCTATTGCCTTAGTTACGAGTTTGGCGCTTGTAAAAGGATTGTCGGTATCGCAGACCGATTACCATATGATAAATTGTTTTACTAAAATTAGACAGATTTGAGCATTTTTCATTTAAAATTTTGTCTCGTGAAAAAGTTGTTATGCTATTTTTCACGGATAATCTCTGTTCTTTTAGATCTTTTTCTAGTATTGAAATATAACAAAATGCATTTTCTTGGTCACATTTTACATAATAAAGAGTGATGATGATGATTGTGTTTATAACATATCAAAATGTTGCTTTTGTGGAGGAACGGTTCCTTACTGCATTGTACCCGATCTAAACAAACCAACAGACATGAGGTATTTTAAATTGCTGATAGATCAAGCATAAACATCACAACCATGTAACTGCGTTCTCGAGCAACCGAGATCTCAAAGTTTATGATATCGGATATTTTCTAAAAATAAGAGTAACTGTCATGAATCTATTCTTCAGAAAGAAATATGAGACTTACCGGTCAATACTTCTTGTAATATCACATAATATTCACAAAAAGGAGGGAATTTTTCCTAAGCAAGGAGAAATTTTTAAGTCAACGGATAATGAAAATCACGTCTTCACCAGCTTCAAGGGCGGTTTAAGATGAAGTTTGCCACAGGTACGCGAAATCCACTTTTCAATTGCAAAGTTTTGTTTTCGTGGCCTAAATTGAATCCAATATCAATAACGTCTCGATAATCTATTATATCTCTTTTGTACTGATAGTCTCAATGCCTTACATGGAAAGGGACTCGAATATTCTGGCCGGTTGACGTGTGAATGAAAGTGTCGGGGAACTATTTATAAACTGAATGATTAACTGAAAACTAATTTAATCGTTTATAAATACCTTCAATTATAATTCTAACGTAAAAAATATTTTCTGATAAACTTGATACCTAGGCCTGTGAGATTTTATCACAGAAAGAAATGAGTCTTCAACTTTGTTCCAATCCTCCAGTCTTTTGGAGTTTCCTTCTTTCGGCGTTCAAATGCGTTATTTAATCAAACATTGTCCATTGTTAACAAGATATGATATGATGATAAGAAAAAAGACACATTTAATTGCGATCGGCCGCCTTTTGTGTCTTGGCTGGTAAACTGAGGTGATTTTTCGACAGAACTGTTATAATAACATTTTGTTTTAATGCCATGTACCGGTATGAAACAGAATTCATTTTCATCATAAGTGAACGATATTCTTATCAGAATGTCCGTCGAGAGACGATTAGGTCCTTCATTAAAATAAACCTGTTAAGCAACAGTGTAACAATGAATGTTCTGTGAAATACAAAATTGACAAATTTTTAGTCATGTTCAGCATCAACTAGTAAGTTTTCAATGCAGAAAAGTACATTATTTTGGTTAGTTTATCTTAATATTTTGGTCACCGAGATAAAGGCGCACTACCATACCAAGTACTACTTAAGCCCGGTCCTCACTAGCGACACAAGCATAAGCATAAGAAGCTTATGCGCTTGTGAGGACAACCGCGACATAAGCATAAGCATAAGAATATCAAAACCTTGCGTTCTTCTTATGCTTAGGCTTATGCTTATGTCGTTGTTATTTCCAGTGAGGACACGGTTAGCATAAGCATAAGCGTAAGCACAAGACTACTAGCCAATCACTAAACACGGGGTCCCAGACCGCTCCCTCGGGAAACAAGATGGCGGGCAATGCAACAGTTACTAGCGACTAAATACAGGAATGGCTCCGATCTGTGATTGGATGATAAAAATAGTGAAAGTTAATAATTTATATCTTAACTCCTTGTTCGTGAGTATTGATAACCGCGTGTCTCGAGGCGGAACAATGAAATATCAATGTGAAAACACCGATGTGTCAAACAAGAAATGGCTACTTACATAACGAAGAGAAGGCAGAGTCTATCTTGTTCAGCGAGTTCGTTCAGCGATATTCCGGTGATGAAAAAGTTATCCGCTGCCAAGCTCCGCTGACAAAACTCATTTAGTCAGTTTAGGCGGACGATCAGAGACTTGAGCCATTCCTGTATTTCACCGCTGACAGGAATGGCTCCAACTCGTGCGTATATTAATTTTTTCTCGTTGTGGCTAAATAATTTATGCAATGAGATAAAAAGTGAAAGAGCGATTTATTAGGTTCCTTCTTATGTTGAAGTGAACGGTGCTTGCTAACGAAACCTTCTTTTATTAATACAGGGCCATGTAGTTTCCAAGTTTCAAAATAATGCAGCAACTGAATGTCACGTTTGGAAAATCACGCAATGTTGCGTGACACTGCGACCGATGTTTTTAATTTACGGTATACCCTGGTGGAGAAATATGGCTTGGCCGAAATCGAGGGACTTTTTTTCGTGGAGAACTGATTTTCTAGGTAATTGTTCACATGAAGGACAAATCCATTCATCGGGCTCTTCATCTTTTTTTGCACAACACCTAAAGGAAGAAAGTCGCGGATTAATTTTGCTTGGTAATTAAATTTGGTCTTTAAAGATTTGTAGTGGATATATTAGAGGGAGATAGACAGGATACAAATTGATTATTTGGTCTTACAGGAATTTAGTTAAATACAAGTAAAATGTAGCTCACCTGAAGTACAGCTCACGATCACCAAGTCGAAGTTCCAGTACAAGATTGTGAAATTCCCCACATCTTTTGCGATTACGAGAGATTTCTCGAACCCAAAACCTTTTAGGCTTTACATCTCGTTTTTTCTGTCGTCTGCGCCGGCGTAAAGTAACAACAAATGCAAGAAGCAACAAGAAATCCTCTTCGTCCGCCATTTTGAATGGGTGTACTAGCGAGAGGGAATGGACACAAAAATACACTATGCAGGCGTATGTGCTTATGCTTATGCCACGGTTGTCCTCACTAGCGCATAAGCTTCTTACGCTTATGCTTATACTTATGCTTGCGTCGCTAGTGAGGACCGGGCTTTAATCGTAGACAAACTTAGATTGATAAACCAGAAAAATATTCTCAGATGAGAGTCCTTACTCCGTCGCGTTCAAACTATTAATTCCACTGGCATTCAGAGACACCGTCATAACTAAATCACTGAAATTAGCTTGATCAGGCGCCCTTTTTATCTGGGAGTCAGTCAATTCGATCGAGAGCAATTGACTTTATTGATGCACTTTCCTGTAATAGGCGAGTGTTTGGGATGGAGAACGACGGATTTTGAAGAACTGTATGGCGACCTAGGTCAACGATCAATGACAAAAGAACTGGCTCGGGAAGTAAGTGGTTTTTATTTATCGAGTCCCTGTGAGGTTTGATGAATAGCAGAATCAGTACTGAATATGTCTCGATCGAGAGCAGACGGGACCATGAGCTCCTGCTCCTGATTGTTATATTTTAGAAATTTCACAAATTTCCATACAGTTTCTTATATTATTTGGACGCCATTATGGACGAAATACGCACGCGCGGCCGCCATCTTGTTCAATATTTCTGCCGATGTGTTTCGTAGGAATATCTAGTTTCCTTTCAAGTCTCGTTTTAATGATGCATAATCTCGAAATTGTATGAGAAAGTGTTCCAGAAACATGCAAATCAAAGTAATGTTCTAATGAAACAACAAGAAAGTAACAAAGGCTCGAGAATTGATGAAGACTGACACTGACATGGTCAGCAATTTATTAAAACAAATTGAATGTCCATTTAACGTAAGTGTTACTTCTCAGTGATAGATTTCTATTTGGATAACTCAGTCATCGATATTAAGATACTCGTGCTCATACTTACTGGAAAGGGTGATTCTCATCATATTTATTTTTCTCAGCGTAAAAATTGAATTGAAATATTTTGCTCTCGTGCGTTTTCTGATTGCCAAGGGTGGGGGAATTACGTGCGACGTGCGTTCGCAGTTGTTCCCAGCTCAGTTGCTGCTAGAGATCATTTTTCAAGTTCATCAAACAGTCGGCGGGAAAAAATGTGAAATGCAGTTTTTTAGCAGACATTAGACGAGTTCGTGCACGTGGTGGTAAATGGGAATTGTAACAAGAAGGCTCAAATATCAAGGATGTGGC